TTTATTGTTAAATCTAACAAAACCGGGCCCTCCATGGAAGTGCTGTGGGTTAGAAGCACTGCACGACAAAACTAAGCCAAGCCCTGGCCACTTCAGTGTGAGTTCGCTCCCCACCCCAGAGGTGATCCACCCACATGGCGCAGCAGACCTCTCCTGTCTCACCTACTGCTCCTCTCAGCAGTGTACTTTGTCAAACTGCCTGTTCTGCTCCCCACTCTCTCTCTGGCGAATCCTCTCACTGCCTCTGCACCTCTGGCCTGTACCCCATTGCTGATTAAAAAAAAAAAAATCTACCGTCCAAATAATGGCAAAACAAATCCAAGACAGAAACACCAAACACAGTTCCTAGTTTTTTCTAGGACCACACTACTAAATCAATTGTGGAGTTGTACAATTTATGCAACAATCTCAGAAATCAAGCCTGTCCTCAAGGCAATCACTAGATTGACCAAAACACACACACACAAGAAAAATTAGAGAAGTTAGTATCAGAAACTCAGGATGACTATTTTATCTATGAGATGTTAGATGTTATCTTGAATTTTTTAGCTAGAGGAGGAAAAAATATATATAAAATAAGTGGATTAGTGTTCCTGGAAAAGAGAAGTTTTGATATAAGCATTAAAAGACAAATTTATCTTTGTTAACATAGACCAGAATATTTCCTTTTTTATTTTTATTACCATGAACTTTCTTTTAAAGACATGTAGTCCTAGAATAAAATATTTATATCTGGCAACATAAGACATACATGCTTTGAACTAGTTCTTATTTATCAAAATCTTGGATCGCAGTCCCAAATTTTATTTTTATTAGAACTTACAAATAGGTGCTGTTTATAACTAACTCTTCAGAGATAAAAGACAAAGACAGACACTGAGATCTCTTGATGTTTTAAAAAAAGATTTATTTACTTATGCATATAGAATTGGGGTATAGGTTAGAGGTGCAGGAAGGGTGAGGGAATTCATCAGAGGCAGACAGGGAGCAGAACAGGCAGATGGACAAAGTACACTGCCGAGGGGAGCAGCGGGCGAGACAGGAGAGGTCTGCCACGCCATGTGGGTCAGCTCCAGGGCCTGGCGACCAAACTCAGCAGAGGCGGCAGCTGAGAGCTTCATGGTGCTGCCCTTTAACCTTGCACCACCAGGGAGGGCCCCGAGATCGCTTGATTTTTACTTAAAATTTCGGCCATGTGTACTAGTTTTGAGATATGTAGCTATTTCACCAATATTTGTGAAGACACTGAGAAACCTAGGATTGATTTTAGTTCAGCTCCTTAACAACTCCTTTAGATAGATTAAGCACACCCTAAATTTATATCTTTAAGAGTAACTCTTTGGCTTAACAGAAGTTATATAAAGAGAATTTATATTAGGTGGAGCAGAAGGTTGTAAAATTTCAGGAGGTGGAGGAGGAACAGAAACTGCTGGAGGAGGCACAGAAGGTTAAATAACACAGTGCTTATGCAATTTGCGCTAAAAAGGAGGTTTTAGCAGCTCCATTTTTGAATCAATATTTATTTAAGATTTATTTATTTATGCATACAGAACTCTTGCCTGGAGCACACAGGCCAGAGGTGCAGGGGTGATGAGAGGATTCCCCAGAGACAGAATGAGGAGCAGAGCTGGCAGATTGAAGTACACTGCTAGGGAGAGCAGCAGTCGAGACAGAAGAGGTCTGCTGCATGGTGTGGCTCAGCTCCGTGGCCAGGGATCAAACTCGTGCTGCAGTGGTTGCAAACAGCCTCATAGTGCCGTGCACCACCAGGGAGCTGTGCACCCTCAATTGGGAGTTACAACAGGTTTACTACTAAAGCCATTATAACAGGGGGGTCCCTAGGAAAAGGGGAAGTTCCAGGTTCCCTGCCCCACCCAAGAGGGTGGAGCTAAGCAGAGAAAAAGAAGAGGAGGAATCTGAAGAGAAGAAGGAAGCAGAAGAGCCAGGAGACCTGAGGAAGCCACATGGAACAGCAAGCATGTGAGGAAGAAACTGTGCTTGTTGCTTGACCGTGGACCGGTTAAGGCAGATGTGGGTGCGAGACCTGTAGGGAGGTGACTATCGTGGTGTTTATATTGATTTTGATGTTGCTCTTTTCCTCCCAGACTTGTCTGGCCATTTCTGACCCTTTTCTATGGGTCCCTGCCAGAAGGTGCTTTAGTCTTGTGGCGAGCATTCAGGCCTTGCTTTGGACCAGTCCCTTTTGGGTTGACTTTGCCCATGAGGGGATGGGTAACTTCAGGTGTTTGATTTAGAAGTTATATTCTTTGTCTTCCATATTGTATACTCACTGTATTAAAATCCCTTTTCATTAAAGTCTGACATGTTTTGCCTTGATGTGACGGATGGCAGAACCCACTTAGAGCAGGCAGATTTGGGAGTTCAGTGGTGCCCCTCTCTGCCTGCCGTGTAACACCTTCAGTGGCACTATGTTTATTTCCTGCCACTGAAGAAATCTCTGTAGGATGGCCTGATGTATATCTCATTTAGCCTTTGCTAGTATTTCATCATCTAATTCATACTCACGAAAACACTCTTGGGCCTTCTGTGTCTCTAATCAAGGCCCATGTAAACCAAAACTTCAGAGGAATTTCTCCCCCCTCCCCCGCCCCCCCTATAATTACAAGTCATGTTATCACCTACCCATTCTCAGGTTTCCAGGTCCAATGTACTCTCATCAGGAAACCAGGGGTTATATTCTTCTACAACTTCAAGGCAATCTAAAAGTTGCCCACGAGTAACTTTTAACCCTGATCAAAAAGTAAATAGCATAGCAAAGGTAGAAAACCCAAGAAGGATTTGCTCCATCTCGAAAATCCCAATCCTATGTCCTTCTGTAAGGAAACAGCTGCTGCAATCACTCCCTGCTGCGGTCATTCCTGGCTTGGGAGTCCAAACTTCAGGTCCCAGTTGGGGAGCCACTTGTGGCTCCTCTAGGAATCCAGAAACCTGGGGTGCAGCTGCACAGGACAAGCCAGACAGGGGACTGCAAGACAGAGCATGCAGTGAAACTTTATTGAATATATTCTACATATATATGCTTTCAGAACAAAAGGCAAATCCATTCTCACATAAAGTGTCCCTTAGTATATTAGTAACTTTTTGTTTAGAATAAGCCTGTGTGCCTTTTTCTCCTGAGGGAGTACAAATGTTAAGTGCTATATTGATAAGGGAACCCGCCAAGGAGGCTTCCAAGAAGAACAGCTGCAGGGCATCCCTGCTTGGGACAGCTAGCCATCCTTATCACTAGAGTGTACTCAGGGCTAGGTTAACCCTTTAGTCACTCCTCTCAGGTCACACACAAGGCAACACAGACACTAACAAGCATGGCTCTCAAAGTGATTCCCCAGAACAGCATCATTAGTGTCACCTGGGAATTTACAAGAAATGCAAAGTGTCAGGCCCACTAAGAAAATAAGGGGACCAGAACCAGCACACTGCATTTAAATAAGCTCTTCTGGAGAATCTGACATAAATCCAAACTGGAGAATCACTCACCCACAGGGTTTCTCTCTACCAGAGGCGGTGAAGCTTCAAGGGTGAACTAGTAGTCAACCTGGAGCTTCATAAAGGATTTGAACTAGGCTTGGAAGTTGGGGAAAGATGCTAAGAAAAGACCTGGAAAGATGTGTACAATTTACCCTGAACAGGAAGATGCTAAAAAATCTAACAGAAAATGTGAGGTTGGAATGAGGTGTTCTAGTGTTTGAGCACCCTGGGAAACCCACTGCTGAGGGGTAAGTCTCAATGATAGATGGGCACAGAGTTTATTAGATAACCATAGTGAGGATTTGAACCTGGGAAGCGGTATTTAAGAACTGTTTCAACCACCACCAGATTGAGTTTAGTACAGATATGGTGAGCCATTGTTGTTAAAAAAAAAAAAAGTGATTATTTTTAGAGAGGGGTGTTGATTTTCATCTAAAGACTTAAATCTTTTGGTTTCCAAAATTATTTCGACCTAAAGGGATATTGATGCTAAGTGTAGAGGAGGACAAATGCTGGTGTTTAATCACTTTAGATTTCTAAAGAATACACCATCGTGGACTCGCAAATGCTAGGTACCTAGTGTTCAAATCTTCATCTGTTTCCTGGGTCACTAGTAGGAACTAAAAGGCTGGTTTACCTACAAGCAGCAGGTTCCGGCACAGGCTACAGGGTGGAGCCTGTTCTGCCTTCAAGTCTATGCAGAAGACTGCTCTCCCACTTGCGAGACCAGGTAAAGGGCGAGGGTGCCCAGAATGTTTTACTGTTTGTTCACACCACAGACACAAAGCGCGCCCCACCTCCCACCCCGCCTCCTTCTCCAGGTGGGGAAAACCCCACGCTTACACACCTCCTGGTGCTCCTCCAGGCCAGGGCGCAGCTGCCTCACCGCAGCTACAGTTTCTCCTCCAGGCCAGGGCGCAGCTGCCTCACCGCAGCTACAGTTTGCTCGCAGAGCCCGGGCATGAAGCCAAGCTGACCTCAGGTCATGGTTCTGTGCAAGCGTGGAGTAGGGATGGTACCAAGGGCGCGGTTCACGGGCCGGAGACTTCCCTCCAGCTAGGCTCTGCTGCAGCCGGCTACAGCCCAGTCCGAGAGGCATCCTGAGCTAGTTTGCAGCTCCCTGGGGATCTAGGTATTCTCCGGGCCCGCGGCACCGCGGAGTCCGAGCTACCCGGAGCCCAGGAGATTTTCCATCCTCCCAAAGCCCCTCCAGTGCGGCAGACCCCGCTGAGCCCCATTTGAACTACAATGCCCACAATCTCTCCCGCGCGAGCGTGCTGTCTTCTGGGAGAAGTGGTCCTGGAAGTGGGGCACCCCTAGCGGCTAGCGCCAACTGGACTTCATGTCCCAGCATGCCATGCGCTCGGGGGGGGAGGGAGGGGATTGCTGTGAGGATGTGAATGGGGAGGGGGCAGCCGCCCCCTTCCCCCACCCTTCGCTTCCAGCCGGGCTGGGGTGGGGGGAGGGGCCGGGCTGAGGCGCGGCAGCGGCGCTCGGGGAGGGCAGGGCCGGGCCGGCGAGGGCGGGACTGGCCCGCTGCAGGCCGACGAGTGTGCGGCGGAGCTAACGGGACCGGACGCCGGCGGCGGCGGCGGCTTTCTGCACGGGTGGAGGCGGCGACAGGAGCGGCGAGCATGGCCCGCGCGGCTCCCGGCGCTGACTGAGGTGCGCGGGCGGGATGAAGGCGGGCGGGAGGTGGGGTGCCCCCGGCCCCTCAGTTGGCCGGAGATCCCGCTCAGCGGGCCGCTGGCTCGGCCCAGGGCCCAGACCGACCCGGTCCTCCCGGGGAACTTCCCCGGGGTCAGGGCGCTGGGCTCCCCTTAGGGGCGGCGGTCCTCTTGCTTTGGCCTCAGTCTCCATACCCGCCTTCTGCTTTTGCACAGCCAGCCGCTCGCTCCCAACCCTCCAGACTCGACTGTTCCCTTCTTTCGTGGCTAACCCCCAGCCCCAGCCCTGGGAAGCACGCCCTCCCTCGGTCCGGACTTCCAGTCCATTACCTCGTTGGCACCCAACTCGAGCTTTTGCACTACCTGGGGACCCCTTCTGCACCTCTTGGCCAAAGGTGGCTTTGCACCAACAGTACCTCTCTCCTCTGTTCCCGGCCTGGCACTGCATGTGATGGCCCATTTCTCTCGGAACAACTTGACCTCCTTCCTTTCAACTTTGGAGAAACTGAGGCACTGCGTTGCAATATAGGAACTTGGCCAGGTCTATGCCTCAGTCCTGTGGGGCTTGTCTGAGCCCATGCCTTGGAATGGAGCAGCCCTTTCTGCTCTTCAGTCATTCCTCTGTAACCCAATGGAACTTCCCAACCCCCTGGCTACCGCACTGGGCTGAGTTCTCCTTAGTCTCCTCTTCAGCTCCCTACCACTTCACTTCCCCCTCCTCCTTCCCTGGCCTTCTCTGCTGTAGAATCTCTCTCATCTCTGGCTTGTTTGCTTAAGTTAGCCTTTGGAGTTCTCTCTTCTGCCAGCTGCATCCATCTCCCATGTTGCCTCTTCACAGCTGCATAAAAAACGCAAGAAGAGTTAAAGGAGGTATTGGGAATGGGGAGAGAGAGGTGCTGGTGGCCTAAGGGACCCACAGCCTCTTCAACCAGAGTTGCTTAGGGTGGGGCTCAGGGTGTTCTGAGCCTTTGGGACAGTGGTCTAGGAGCTTGTGGGTCATTTCTTCGGTTTATGTTTGGACTCCAAAGTCCCTCTGAGATGGAAGGAACCTTCTACCTGGATGGAGATGGTGCCCTAAGAGGTGTCTGAGAGACCACACCCTGTCTTGCTTCTGTTGTTAACTTTGGAGTGGTTATCTCTTCAGGGAAAGATGCCTGGGAGGTGCTTGAGCTCTTGTGGAGGAAGGCAGTGTCTGTAGGAGGCAGCTCAAGTTCAGTTGCGTTTAGGTTGGAAAGGGAAGGGGGAACCAGGGTTGGGAGAGGTGGCACAGACTTGCCTGTATAGTTAATTCAGTGTTTTGTTTTCTCATCTTCCTTCAGCAGTTTTTCCATGGGTTGTCCCTTTCCAGCTCAATTCCCAGTTTCCCAGTGGGAAGTGAGGGGAGAGAGGGAAACCGATGAGCCATCAAGAAGGTGCAGGAAACTCTGGGAGTATGTTGGGGTCCCGAATGAGCAATCTTGATTTGAACCAGATGGTTCTGTGCTTCAGCACCTCCTCTCCCATACCTCCCCCTTGGCTGTGAAAAGGACGCCTTTAACCTTGTAACTTGAGAATGGAGGAGGGGTGGCCAGGGGGCCAGCTGTCTGTGTGCCGTGTTTATGTCTGCATCTGCATGCTCCTGTGCAAGCTTGCCAGGGGCCTGTGGGAGTGGTGACCCTGCCCGCGAGTGCATTGTTGTGATGTGCTGTGGCATGCTCAGACCTCAGAACTTTTGGAGCACAGACCCCAGATAGGGCCAGTTTCCAAGCCCCAGAGACTCACTGGGTGTGGCTTCATGGCAGCGTTCACCCAGATCCCCCACAAGCTAAGCCTCCTGACCTGCGTGTGCCTCAGTGAGAATCCCTCTTTTTGAGATTCCGATCTGCAGTTGAGGAGTCTGAAATTGCAGGGGTGGATGTCCCTGAACTGGTGTGCGCTTGTCCCTAGTCAAGACAAAAGAAGCTCTGAGGAGAAAAGATCTGGGCAACTGATTCCTGTGCCTTGTTCTTTACTACATCTGCCTTGTGTACTTGATTTTGGCCTCTGTCAGATTGGAATTTCTTCAGCTGTGTTGGTATTTTGAAGTCCTGTTACCTGGCTCGCTCCTGGACATGCAGTTTGTGTTAAGTGGATAGGCTCATGGTTAGAGGTTTAAGGCAGGATTGTTCACACTTGATCACGCATGGGAATGACTTGGATTGCTGCTTGCAGCACAGATTGCTGGGCTCTCCTCCCTGGGCTTTCTGATTCAGCCCATCTGGGTGGGACTTTGAATTTGCACTTCTGCCCAGCTCCTTGGGGATAAAATATTTGGAAAGAAATGGTTCTGGTTCAGGACCATCACAGTTGCTTGGGAGATTAAGGCAGGCAGATGCAAATTCTTAAGAGAGACAGACTTTCTTGCACCTTGTGGCCCCACCCAGGCTTGTTCTTGCAGCTGCACTGGTTTGACCTTTTCCCTCCCTGTCTTGCCGCCCAGTTTTGGTGAGGTTAATGGTAGGGTTGACATGTGGTGCCTGAACTCCCAGCCCCTCTGTAGTCACATGGCAGATACTGCTACCGGGTTATTTAAAGAAAGGACAACAAAAGCAGCCCATTCAGAAGCCATATGGACATGGGCAGGCAGGAATAGAGCCAGGCCCCTGTCCTGTCACTGTCTCCTATAACAGAGAGGTTGGGGGCCTGCAAGGTGAAGTTCTGCCATAGCTGCACGCAGGATAGGATGCCTGGGTATCTCTGAAATCTAGAGAAGCTGGAGCAATCACATATATTGTGCTTTTACTGTGCAAAGCATTTCCCACCTGTTGTTTTCTAGCCCAGTGGCAGGTGTACAAGACAGAGACAGCCCAGTTGGGTTCTGAGGCGTGAAGACCCTGATTCCCACCCTCAGTGGTGCACCTGCTAAATTACCAACGGCTACTAAACTGCAGAAATGGCTGCTGTTTCCTGAGGGAGGTTTCAAGCCAGACCTAGGGCTAGATGCTCTCACACACTCCCTCACTGACTCCTCAAGTCATTGTGGCAAGGTTGGCCTCATTGTTGCTATCTCATAAATGGAGAATTGAGCTTTCTTGAACTGAAGAGACTGGTCTGAACTCAGACAGCTGGTACGTGGAGGGTCTGGGATTGGTGCTCAGGTCTTTCTGATGGCACACCCTGTGTTCTTTGTCACTCACTATGTCATCCTGCCCAGCCAACCTGTAATTCCTTTGTGGTTGCCTGCCCCCAATCTATGGAACTACGCTGGGCATCATGGAGGAGACGATGATTAAGTCTCTGTCCTCTGGGAGGGGATCAGGGCACTGTGATCTGCAGTTTTCCTTTCAGATGGCTCTGCTGTCTACCTGTGATTCTGCAGGTTTCTCTCTTTCTCCATTCCCTAATAAACATGTTTAAAAAAAAAAAAAAAGTCATCCCCATAGAGGGATCAGATGGAGTTCCAGCAGTACCTGTGGGCATGAAAATGTGCAGAAAGGCCATCTTGGCACAGAGAGGGAGTTGTCCCTTTTGGCTGGAGCCTAAGAGACGTGCTTCAGAAAATTATGAGAACCTCTTTGGTTACAAACAACAGCTAGCCCAACTTTGGCAGGAAAGGACTTCCTTGGAAGACTAGAAACTCCCATAGAGATGACTCAGGACCCAGCTTCCCTCCAGTGTCTTGGGGTGGGTGTGGCAGGCCTCTTCAGGGTACTGGGTAAGTCTGTTCTAAGCCAAGTTTGGCAATTTTGTCCCCATAACTTGGGACTCACATCCTGGGGGGAACATCTGGTTGGCCCAGCCTGGAACCTACTCCCTCCTTTGACCAGGAAAGGGCTTATGGTATAGGAGGCTGGTCCTCCCCGCCGCCCAGACTGTCTGACAGCTAAAGTCTCCAGAACAAGTGGACCCGAAGAGATACACCTAGAAAGGTGCTGAACGAGGACTTGAACTGGCAGGTTGCAAAGGGAGTTCTGAGTTCTGACAAGTTCCTGAGCACACAGACTGGCAGCCGAATCTAGCTGGGCCTGAAGGAGACAGGAAAGGATACAGACAGCTAGACAGGGTCCAGGTGCAACATCATGAAGGCTGGCACTTGGCGGTAGAGATGGAAAAGAAGGGACCGATTCTAGCAAGATTGTGAAAGTAGGTCTCATCTTCTGGCGCACACACTTGATTGGGGTTTGACATTTCAGCGTCTGGGTGATGGAGGAAGAGGGAGCATTTGCAGGAGGTGGCATGTTCTTGCTGCACACATAATGCTGACAACAAGCCTGGAATCCTGATGAGCTCATTACTCCTGACGCCATGCTGCCTGAGGTTGGGGCCTCAGACCTGTGGAGATAGGGCCACAAAGGCCCAGGGCCTTGCATACCCTGAAAGCCCCCCTGCCTGACAGGCCTGTAGCTCAGCTCTACACCGCAGCCTGCGAAGGCTTCTCCATCCCCTCCCCACTCTGAGTTTCCATGCCACAACTTCCCCAAAGCTATGTTCCCTGTACTTGAGGCCTTATAGCTGAAGGACCTGGCTCAGCTTCTGGAGTCCTAAGTGTCTCACCCTTTCTGCTCAAAATGCTTGTTGACAGTGAGTCCCCACTGACTATCAAGACAAACATCTCCTGGTGACATTTCGCAAGGAGAGGGTATGACCTTTGTCCGCTATCTGGAGTAAACAGGCTTTTCCTCCTGGTGTGCTGTTGGTCACCAGGGATGTCTGTATGTGTCCCTAACCAGTCATTCTAGAGTACTTCTCAGTGCCTATTTAGAAATCATTATTGTAATTACAACATATTGTCAATCGAGCTTTCCTGTTGCCATTGCAGATCTCTCCCAAGGCTCCAGTGCATAGGCTGGGCTTTGGGCTGCCCCAGCTTTCTAGCTGACAGTGGTTGTTTTCTCCATAGAAATGGCAGGGAAGGAGCAGCGTCCCCCAGGGGGACTGGGCAGGAGGGTCTGTGCTGAAGAGTACTTTATCCTCACAGACTTTTGGGAGATTATCAGCTCCCTGGTGTGAAAAGGATAGTTCCCTTTAGTTCCAACTGTT